GGTGTGTTCAGATGGGCCATTTAAGCCGGCATAAACTGCTCCGGTTGGAACCGGAAGAAACGCGATCACACTCACCTCCTGACTGCGCAGCACATCGCGATATACCCGTTCACACTACCGACGCGCAGCAGTTGTGGGGTGTGTGTGGCCAGTTGGGGGTGGTTGTTCCCATCGTGGATGGACCAGGTTTGTAAAGCAAGCAAGCACTGTATAAATAATGCAGATCATGGAGTGCAAGCCCCTCCCATCCCCCCCTTTCTCCCAAGGCCTCGGGTTGCCCCCCCCCCTGCAGTTTTCTCCTTTGTGCGGGAATAATGGATGTCTTTGTTGCCAGGAGGGCAGCAAAGTCTTCTGGGTGAATCTGCTCCTCCATCAATTCCTGATTAAGTTTTGGGTTCTCTGCCTGATCAGTTATCTCTGTGGCTAAGAATGTAGCCTACAGAGAGGGTGGGTTTTGTTTTTGGGTTTTTTTGCAGTTTTAAATTCCCTTTGCTTAGGATCCAAGGGTGTAGCCAGAAAATTTTGGGTGGTGGGGCACTGGGAAATCCTGTGAGGCAGGGGAGTCGGGGGAAAGAAAGAGAGAGACGGAGAGCGGTGAGCTGCAAGCCTGCCCACGGCAGAGGAAGAGGACTCAGCTTGTCGCCGGATGTGCACCAGCCCAGCCATGTGGTGCAGGCACAGTGAGGCCACCGCTGCTAAGACAAGTCCTCTTCCTCTGCTGCTCGCCGTCGTGGCTTGAGCAACATTTAAAAGGGAGAGCCGAGTCCTCTTCCGTGTTCGAAAGGGGGAGCAAAGTCCTCTTCCTCATCTACATGAGTCGGGGGGCGGGGTGTATTCTCCAACTCTCTCTCTTTTGCTATTTTATTTTACTTTTATTTTGCATTTTTTTCAAAAAAAGAAAATGGGACTGAAGCTTCCCTGACTGTGCCTGGGGTCATTTGGAAATCCCATTTTACAAATGGGTGATGGTCATCCATGGGGGGCATTGCCCCCAAATGCCTCCCCCCACGGCTATGGGCCTGTTTGGATGTAGACTTGGAGCAGAGCTCTAGCCTCTTACCCAAGCAGGAGGGCTATCCAAAACTGGAGGGTCAACCTGGAGCTCAGCAATAGGAACCCAAGCAAAAATTTGCACAGCCCTATCTAAGTGAGAAGAGGCATGACCTACCCAGTTTTGTATGACTTCCCCCCCACTGAAGGAGAAACATGATTCGGACATGGTTATCCATGCTTCCTTTACATCCAGACGAGAATACTGCAGTGTACTCTCTGAAGACTTTTGGGAATGGAAGGGTTAGACCGGCTTCCTCTTAACTTCTAGACCCAATCTGAAGTGCTGGTTATCCTCCGGTATATATAATTGTATTTTGGTCATGGACTCCCCTGAACATTCCAACACGCTCCACAATCAGTTCGCTCTCTGATCTGTCATTCAAAGGGTCTCCCTATCCACTGGCTGCTTTGCCTGAGTCCTGCCTCCAGCATTCTAAACAGTTTGCTGTTCCTCTCCCCCCCACAGCCAGTCAGAACACAGAGGTCGTTTGCATATGCGGCCTGATTTGCCTTTGCCTTTGAACACAGAGGTCGTTTGCATATGCAGCCTCACTGGCCTTTCCCTCTAACATTCTAAACAGTTTGCTGTTGATGTTCTGAGGTAAAATAAATTTCTCTTTAGTGTCTGTTGGGGGAAACCATGGTTGCAAATCTCCAGGTGAGGACTGAAGATCACTCAGAATTACAACTGCTTTCCAGATGGCAGAGATCAGTTCCCCTGGAGATAATGGTGGACCCTGTGTCCTTATATCCTGCTGAGATGGCACATTGCTGGGCAACACTCTAGCCATCACCCTGAAAACTCTATGGTAGTAATCTGGCCACTTTGGGGGTGGGGTTCCCCCCGCTGGCCGAATCCGGACCGGCAGATTGGGGGCCCTTTGAGCAGGGGAACCCCCGCCCCCCTGGGGGACCTGGCAGCCCTATGCAGGGAGGGGATTCCACCAGAGACAACCCCTTCCCCAGGCAACGCTCCCTCTAAGCTGTGGAGTCTTGTGAGCAAAAATTCTACTTTGTGAGCTGCTGGCATTAAAGTTGTAAGCGAGCGACTTGGCTACTGCATAAATTAGCTTGCCCCTCCTTCCTTCACATACCTCCATGGTACCGTATATTGCTAACCTGACAAACCCAGTTTTTAGGAGGGTCTTTATGCTTGCAAGGTTCAACCTTTTCCCTTCAGTAGTGGTCTCAGGTAGATACAGGGGTGTCCCGTATAAGGATAGACTTTGCAACTGTAATCTTGGGGAACCCGATTCTATTACCCATATCCTTCTTCGATGTCCTAAATATTCCGTTATGCGCAATAGTCTGATTCGCCCTCTTCTCCCTTTGCAGAGAGATTTTCTGGATGGGGATTTAAAAATTTTTCTAGCAGACAAGAGCCCGGCAATAACATTATCTGTCGCTGAATTTTTGACCTACGTATGGAAATCAAGAGTAATACTCTGTAAATCTTGTAAACCATGTTAGGATTGCTTTGTATCTTGGGATCGGGAATACTGGTCGATGTTGCATTTGTACCTACCCTTTAAACTCTGTCCTTTGTTTGATTTACTTATACTATGCCAATAAATGTTTCTGGTTCTGGATCTTTGTTAACTCTGCAGTTTTTTGTTGATTGATGCTTGTGTGAATGGAAATGGAGACTGTGGTTATGTGTGCACACACATTTAAAGATGGGGGGGTAGCTCCCTCTCTCACGTGTTTATATTGTTTGTCATTATTATCTATCTTTATCAAGCACAGGATTATTAAAAGTGATTTCTTTCTGCTGGCAGCTGCTTAGTTATTACGGATTAGGCATTTGCAGAATAGTGGCAAAGGCCGTTTTACTTGATGTCAGTAAACTGCCATTTGCACTCTGGGTATGTTCTGTGTAACCTGCCTGCTGTATGATGGGGGGGGGACTAGCCTGCATTTCTCTGTTCATTTCCTCTCAGTGCCGCGGTGCCATTTGTTTTGGCTTTGGAAAGTGGCACTGCCTTTATAGTTGATAAGGCTGTGAGAACGACTGCTAGAGCCGTTCCCAATCTGGCTGGTGTGACTCAAACGGCTGGAAGCTGCCTCCCGCCTTGATTTTCCCCTTGCTCAAATTCTGGCTGAGCCTGCTGAGCACAAACTGTATTCATTCGTCAATCCTGTGTGTTTGAACTGTCTATATCTGTCCCTGCTTGGTTTTGAGTTTCATTCCTGACAATGACTATGTGAGAGTATCAGTAGTGACTTGTAATGAAGCAACCTATTCTTATGAATCGTCGTGGACGGCAACAGCTCTATTGAACCTGACAGTTTATGATTCTTTGAAGCCAATCCAATGTCACTCCATCACAGCAAGCGTACTCCATGAGGCACAAGGAGACTATTAGACCACTCTTTGCAGATATGCCAAACATGTTTCTCTCACAGTTACCTTAAAGGCTGTCATAAGGGGGACACAGCACTCTTCCGTATTCAGTAAAATGCTATTACTCACTTTTAACACAAATTCACCACTGCATTATTACGTCTACCTAAAAGGTAAAGGTAAAGGTTCCTTTGCTCGAAAGCCAGTTGAGTCCGACTCTAGGGTTGCGGTGCTCATCTCCGTTTCCAAGCCGAAGAGCCAGCGCTGTCCGAAGAAGTTTCCGTGGTCATGTGGCCGGCATGACTAAACGCCAAGGCGCACGGAACGCTGTTACCTTCCCACCGAAGTGGTCCCTATTTATCTACTTGCAATTTCTTGCTTTCGAACTGCTGGGTTGGCAGGAGCTGGAACTAGAGACGGGAGCTCACTCCGTCATGCGGCACCCGGGTCTCGAACTGCTGAACTATCGACCTTCCACAGCCTGCAGTTCAGCGTCTTAACCACTTGAGCCACCGCAGCTCCTACGTCTACCTACCTACCTAACTACATCTTACAAAAATCTCAGTCATCTGACACTGATACATGCTTCAGACAAAGGGAAGCAAACTCTAAGGCATGGCCTTGTGTACATTGTAATTCTGTTTTAAGAACTCTTCTTTATATTCGAGATGCCAACATCAAGGCTTAGCTAGGGCAATGTAGATTTTGAGTGCTGAGATTCAGGCTCTCAGCACATCCTGCAAGATTATTTATTTATTTATTTATTTATTTATTTATTTATTTCAATTTACACCCTGCCTTGCCGCTGCAGCACTGACTCAAGGCGGCTTACACGGTTAAAATGCAATAGAACCAATAAATACAATAAAAACTCACAATTAAAAGACAATTACATAAGGTGCTAATATATACAGATGGTGGTGAAATACGGATGTCTATACATGGTCCGATGAGGAAAGGCCATGTCCAGCGTGGTAATATAGGGCCGTGGCCTGTTCAGTTTACGATGGTTCTTTTGCTCAATCTACGATGGTTCATTAGTCAGTGGCAGCTCCTAATCGAAGGCCTGGTGGGAAAGCTCCGTTTTATGGCCTTGCGGAACTGTAGAAGGTCCTGCAGGGCCCTGATGTCCTCCGGGAGCTCATTCCACCAGTGTGGAGCCACCACTGAAAAGGCCCTGGCCCTTGTAGTGGCCAGTCTGGCGTCTTTCGGGCCAGGGACGGGCAGGCGGTTTTGTGACCCTGACCTCAGTGCTCTCTGGGGCACATAGGGGGAAAGGCAGTCCCTCAGGTAGGCAGGCCCCCAACCATATAGGGCTTTAAAGGTCAAAACCAGCACCTTGAAACGAATGTGGTATGCTATTGGCAGCCAGTGCAATGCCTTCAGCACGGGCTGGATGTGATCTTTTATGGAGAGACCCATCAACACCCTGGCTGCCGCATTTTGCACCGGCTGCAGCTTCTGGATTTGGGACAAGGGCAGCCCCATGTAGAGAGTGTTGCAGTAGTCTAACCTCGAGGTGACCATAGCATGGATCTTTGTGTTAAATTGCTTGGTAAGCGCTCACTGTATAAACAGCACTAGGAGAACCAAAATTGCTCACCTCTTTGTGAGAATCTTTATGTGCTTCCAAAGTCTTCATGATGGTCAATTCAGCATAGTTCTTAAATCTTGCAGGCTGGTTCCTCAAGATTTCTCGCAACACTCTCAGTGCCAGGGCTCTTATTGAATGCTATATGAAAAGCAGCAACATATGGGGGAGAGACCATTTAGGTTATCTGAATCAGTAACATGAAGCCACTATTAGTGAGCTGAAAATAACACTGATGCACAATTCTCATTCCAGTAAAAACCAGAAAATGGAGGATGAGGGGTGTTTGATATTTGCTCCCTAGAGAGGACCACGGGGGACGGCCATCATGGGCTCATTAGCAAAGCCCAGTAAACACGGTTGCATAAGAACCAGGTGTATGCTAACAAACATGGATAACTTGTGTGCCCAAGTACTATATTCTTGTGGGATTGTTAAACCAGTCCTTTGAACAAATCACAAATATCACAACGCTTCTTTGGACTAGCCTTTTGATTTCTGAGGTTTTAGTACATAGTGTCATCATGCTCTTATAATGTTTAAACTATGAGGCTTAGAAACTTATTTTAAAATAAAGTGCAGGCTTCTCTGCATTCTACCAATAGCCTATTGGCCACATATAAGCACCCACTGAACTAAGCCACCCAACGGAAAGCTTCAAAAGAACCATCTTTTGCATGCAATGTTTCAGTGGTGCATGTTTCTGAAATACAGGTCAGCAAGTAAGCAAATCCAACCCACCGGTTTGTTAGGGATGCTTAAACTCAGGTAAAGTAAGTTTACTTTTTCTGGTCTCCTGAAATCCAGGAGATAATCAACTATTATTACAAATCCAAGTTTCTTTATTATAAAACGACATTGCATTTCTGACGGGGCATCACAGTTACCATTTTTGTTATTCAGTTTGCTGCCACCACAGCCATGACATTCACCGACCCCATTCCATTTGGGAATATCGTTAGTAGGAGAGTAACAGAACAACTGCCCAGGTTATATAACCGTTGCATTGTCTTTTTGGACGACAGCCATGCCAAACAGTGCCTACAGTTTCAACAGAGGAGTATTTAGTCTAATTTGCTCCAAACTGAACTTTTAAAGTACATCCTGGTGCTTTTGCATTCACCTGCGCAATCCATGTGCTAGCACATGACTTGCCTCCTGATTATATCTTTTTGATGCATCTATGACAACAGAAGCTGGAAACAATAACTGGCATGCAAGCAAGTGCTCTTGGCTGCTTCACAGTCACATCTCAATTTTATAAGCAAGTAAAAACACAGACAGGATTTTAGGTATTTCATACCTGCTGTATAAATAGACCGTGTAATGATAAAGGGCTGTTGTTTTTCCCCAGTTACTTGCCTTCGGTTGGGGGGGGGGGCGCTCGTGCAGTAAAATCAATAGACATAGCAATTAATGGGTTGCAAGTGCTATATCAGCCAATTAAGTCATTACACTTAGGGACAGGTGTATCAAAGGGGGCTAAAAGAAGGAATCTGACCAATGGGACGTTTAGCAGCCATATTGTGGATTGAATCTTATGAAGCACTCACATTCAGCCGTCATGGTCAAGTAGAGCTTGATCAAACCAGGATGTCTTTAATTAAGCTCCATACATGAGGGCGCGATTTGGTGAGCACGTGCCAAGCACAGAAACAAGCTTTGTTCAAGCTCCAACACAGTTTAATTCCACTTATCCAAACATCTGACTGGAGGCCCAAGTGCTAATGGAAAACTCAATAAGGCTAATTTTTAAGTGCTAAACTCCTCTGCTATGAGTGATCTTATGCTACTGCTACATCCGTTACACCTTGGAAGGCATTCATAAGATCCATGACAACATCATTAAGGCCAAAGAACACCAGTGCATGCTGTTCAAAAACCGAGCAATGTTTTCACTGGTACTGGATTCTGTTGGCATCAGGTTCACGGAACAGGAGCCAGAAATACAATGCCTTTGAAAAGGTGTTACTATACTAACCTACCCTGAAAGCTTCAGAGGCTAGAATGACCACTCCTCTCATAATAAAAGAATGCCGAATAAGAGATAATAAAGTGGGGTGCTCAGCACATGTGTACATATATCTTACATCTTTGTCTCCAAGGGTTTCAAGTAGTAAAAGCAAAATGGTCTTGAAATGTTCTTCCCAGACTCCCAGGTTATCTTCCCTTGTGATCTTCAGTAACTCGAGAAGAGCTCCTTTCCGTTCTTCCACCCGTTCATTGTGATTGGATAGCTCTTTCAAAAGATCAGCCACCAAATCAGAATGATCAATGGGCACTGGCGGAACAAATGAAAAGCAAGTCACGCCACAGTTAAGACAAACCAGCAACAACTGTAGTAAATAAATGAGGACTCGATATTAATTTATAGTATTTCTTGTTTCTGTACTTATACACTTCCCCCCACGATTCCTTGGTTACACATTTTGATTTACAACAGTTCAGCAATTTGGTCTGTAACATCGATGACTGACTCTTAAATTCTCCTTGGTATTGCAATTTTTTACTAGGTCAATCACATTTTTGTCCCGCCCTTCTACAAAGAGCTCAGGGTTGTGTACCCCGAGCAGTGGCAACTAGCCTGAAGTCAGCGGGTGAGCTCTGTGGCTGATTCATCTCTCTGGTTAACGTCTAGCACACCAGTCACTACACCCATCGGGATCTCTCTGTGCTCCAATATAGCGGTTTGCAAAAAGGGAAGCTTGAGGAACAATATCACTTATCATAATGAAAGAACGGTTTTCCATCAGCAAATATATACCTCAGCAGATATATATATATATTGTTGAACCTGCTGTCTATAAATAAAGATACCCACTTGCCACGGAGCGTACAGAAAGCCACACAGAACTTGGACTGGACAGAAAGATTTAAGTCTCACATTCCACCCCAAGTTTCATTCACAACCAAAGTTCCCTTCATGCTTCTGAGCAGTGTTCCCTCTAAGCTGAGTTAGTGTGAGCCAGCTCACAGTTTTTGAGCCTCCGGCTCACACATTTTTGTCTTCGCTCAGGAAGGAGGGCTCCAGAGCAAACTAACTTATGCAACAGCTGAATTGCTCGCTCACAACTTTAATGCTAGTAGCTCACAAAGTAGAATTTTTGCTCACAAGACTCCACAGCTTAGAGGGAACATTGCTTCTGAGCCACTTGAATTCCAACCAAAACCTGCACTGAGTTGCCCTATGATTAATAAGATGTGATTAGGAAAATATTTTGCAAAATCCTAAAAGCTGTGATCCTAAACGTACTTATTTGCCAGCTGTGATATATGACAGCCCTGGACTTATCTGGGGCCATTTTGTGGCCGCAGGGTTGGAGCAGGGCCAGGAAAAGGCTCTTCAGGTTCTTCAGCAGCAGCTGTGACCTCGTCTCCACGGCCGCAAGCCTTCCGGGGGCGGGGGGGGGGCTGACAGCATTGCTGGGGCTCGGCCAATTGCTGGGTGCTGGGTCAGCAGAGTCAGGAGTGATGTCTTCCTTCTGGTCTACTCCTCTCTCTTATTAAGCCACACTGCCAGGCTGCATCACTCAGTTGGTTCCAGCCCTCCTGCCCTCCGCTGCAAAAGGTTTCTGCGGTCTGTGTTTCGATATGTTAATTCTTGTCACAGCTTTATGGCAGTTTCAGGCGTTGGGCTGGATCCATTTTGGGGGGAGCCATTATGCCTGAGTACCTGCCTCCCTGAGGTGGGGACCCCATTAACATGCCCAGCTTGGGGGCTGTTGCCCAACTCCACCCTCAGGTGGCAAGGAACCATGTAGAGGCCCATGTGGGTCCACTGGAATTACCATTCCAGCTTTACCCACAGCAAGCAGACTGGGGATGGGATTTCATTGGATGGGAGGTGGGTCAACTGATGCCTGGATCCGTGCCCTATGCCACACCAATGCCCCTGCTACAGGAACTCATATAGTTCCTGGATAATCCAAACATTCTAGAATTCCATAAGCCATAGAGACGCGTAGTCCGAATGCAAGATGCCGCGTTTCGAGTAATTATAGCCTATTTTTATTTTATTTCATTTCATTCCATTTATATCCCGCCCTCCCCGCACGCAGGCTCAGGGCGGCTTACAAGGCACAAAGTGCAATTAAAAAAACAGATTAAAACAACTGAAGCTAAAAATGCACAACTAACAGGATACATGAAAGACTGAAATTACACACTCCCCATTGCATATCAGGAGGAGGTCAGAAGATCCAAGAGGGGGGGGGACGCCATGGGCCACGATGTTCCAGTTACTCCATCGGCCCAACCCGGCGGTCCTGCTCTGCAGTTACGCGGTGGTGGTAGTGGCAGCGGTGGCTCCTACTCAAAAGCCTGGCGGAAGAGCTCCGTCTTGCAGGCCCTGCGGAACTGTAAAAGGTCCCGCAGAGCCCTGATCTCCTCCGGGAGCTCATTCCACCAGGTAGGAGCCGCCACCGAAAAGGACCTGGCCCTCGTGGTAGCTAGCCTGGCCTCTTTAGGGCCTGGGGTCACTAGGCAGTGTTGTGACCCCGACCGAAGTGCTCTTTGGGGCCTATATGGGGAAAGGAGGTCCCTCAGGTATGCTGGACCCTATTGGTTTTGAAAAAGAATTACTCGAAATGCATCAGCTTGCATCCGGACTACGCGTCTCTATGGTTTATGGAATTCTAGAATGTTTGAATTATCCAGGAACTATATGAGTCCACTCCATGATGAATGCATGTCAAGTTGGACTACGATATCACAATAGAACTGGAGTGAGACACATTGACATTTTGGGGAATTTATTCTTCTTTCTGTATATTTGTTGTTTCTTGCAAGAACACCTTGGCCTTAT